GTATAAGAGACAGCCCCTCGCCAGGGCTGCAGAGGTCTGAGGAGCAGAAGGTGAGATGGAAATGAAGCAAAAGCAAGTAGAAACATCACTATGCAGTACTGGAGAGCTCCAGGAGAGAAAACACACACAGATCTACCTGGGAAGCAAAACTGGGGTGTGCTAGGAATCCTGCTTCCCAGCACAGCACCTGCTTTGAAACAGGGCAAAAAACAGGCAGAAAAGTTAAAATCTTTTAACTTTTAACCATAAGCTACCACCCCGCGGAATGAAGCAAGCAGCAGAGAATGAAGGAATGCCCCGGTGTGCCACTGAAACAAAGTCATCTTTTTATTGTGTTTGAGCCTGGGGTCAAAACCCCCAGTTGGGGGAAAAAAAAAAAAAAAAAAAAAAGTATAAATAGTTCTAAACCCTCACGCTCGCTGCACTACCAGCATTGAAGAAGGGCTCCATTCTCCACGGAAGGACGAGGCGAGCCTAAGGGGATCAGTGCTGTGTAGGAAATGTTGGGGCAGGGCATCTCTCAGGAGGTTGCCACTGCCCAGGCCAAGATTTGACTCTAATTAAACAAGGCCAGCGGTTGCCTGCAAGCCCTCAAAATGACCATCTGGTAAACGACCCGTTAATTAAACTAAAAATCGATTCTTTCTCACTTTGCACGTGGGAGGAGAGCGCCAACCCCCTGAGCAAGGTGGCGGGGGGGAATCTCAGTGGTTGTGGGGTCTACCTCGGCCCCGGCCCCGGCCGCCGGGCGCGGCGTCCACGGTGGAACGAGGGTTCTTGATGGTTTCATCCACGGAGACGATGAGGCAGGCGGCCTCGGAGGCCGCCGTCAGCGCGTTGATGCGCACGATGGCCGGCTCCCAAACGCAGGCCTCGAAGTTGTCGGCGATGTCCTCGTTGTTGACGTCCACGCCGTACCACATCCCTCCCTGGGGGGGAAGAGAAGAGGGATGAGGGTCTCATTATTGGGCTGGTTGGGACTTTGGGACCCTGGGAAACAAAATGCACTGGGAGACAAAGACATGAAGATGTTAAGGGAGAGGCAGAGACTGGACCTTGGTGTATGAAGGAAGAGTATTTGCGGGAAACACACACAAAAAAAGAAAAAACACACCCCAAACCCCTTTGTTGGCAGCAAACCGTGCCAGCAAAGCCTCACAAAACAGGCATGCTCCATTTCAGAGAGCAGCCGTAGAAGCTTTACAGGACTGGTGTCCACCCCACCGCTGTCTCACTGCCCCGATTTTTGCTGCCCAAGATACAGCTGCTCCTTTTGGGGCGTTCCACTTCATTTCACAATCATCAGCAGGGTGAAATGTGGTGGGAGCAACGCCACAAAGCAGCAGCTGCTTCTTGAGAGGAGCCAAGGGGAAACCTCCAAATGCCTGAATTTGGATGGGGTGTGCGCACAAGGTCTGAAAGGACCATGAGCAAATCAGGATCTGCGGGCCACAGCTCCCCTGGAAAACACACAGCTCGGCCAACTTCTATACTTTGATTACTTTAATGTTTAATATAGAAGCCTCCCTCCTGACAAATGATGCATTTTTAAAAAGCAAATCAAAACTCGCCGCTCTAGAAGTCACCCGACAACTGTGATCAAAGGGAAAACAGATCATTTCCTTTTATAGAAACTGCACCAAGCCTACACTTGATCTGAAAAGAAAACGTTGCTTTAATCAAAGGGAACACGAGCCTAACATGGGCTTAGCTGAAATACACCAGATCCGGCAGGCTCAAAAATAAGGAAGAAAGAAAGAAAAATGATCACATGCCCAGCTGGTTCTCCCCAAGAGCCTTTGGTGGGCACCCACCTGCGCGTGCTTGGCTCGGAGCTTGTTCAGTATGTTGGTGGCATCAAAGCCAGCGTTGTCACAGAGCTGGCGGGGAATGATCTCGAGGGCTTTAGCGTAAGCACCTATCAGCAGCTGCTGCTTGCCTGGAATGGTCCTGGAATAGTCCCGGAGGTATTTGGAAAGTTCCATCTCTATCGCGCCACCGCCGGCAACAACCGAGTCGTTCTGAAAGAAAAAGGGGAAAACGCTCACTCTTGTTCCAGGAAAGGGGAGAGCAGCTCCCCTTCCTGCAAGGGCTGCACCCACCAGCTTTGCTGGGAGCTTCAGGCAGGCCACAAAGTCTCCAGCAGCAGCTCCCAGCTGTGCACAAGGTAAAGGGGTGGTTTGGAGATGCTGTACCGGGCAGGGGGTGATGGCACAGCACAGGCCCCTGTGCTGGGCACATTTCTCTCACTTCCCTAAACCTTTCAAAATTAAACAATATTTGCAGTAGCACTTCACAGCCAAGTTCTGCTATTCCCCCCCTCTTTGTTTCAGTAGGGAGATCAGGATATTCTTCCTGAAAGCAAAAGTTCTGAAAATCCTGACATGCTTCTTCCCATCCCCTCAGGGCACTCAGCCTCAAAGCTGTTTTTAACCAGAAAACACCACATTAACACGTTATTATGCATAACCCAGAAACACCAGCAGTTAGGCAGCATCTATCACACAGGACCAGCAGCTCCACCAGCAGAGCCCACGCTCACACGTGCCTCAGATTTTGTTCAACGTTCCCAGCCTGCCTGCACAGCCAGGGGAAAGCTACCCCTCAGACTGGGCACCAAGTGAGGGAACAAGTGGCTTTAACAGGCATCAAGCCTTCTACTCAAATCTACTGAAGAGCTACTCAACTCTATGGGGTTTGCGGAGCAAGGTTTTGGTAGCAGGGGGCACAGGGGTGGCTGCTGTGAGAAGCTGCTGAAGCTTCCCCCATGTCCAACAGAGCCAACGCCAGCCGGCTCCAGGATGGACCCAGCACTGGCCAAGGCCGAGCCCGCCAGCGAGGGTGGCAGCGCCTCCCCGAGAAGGTATTTAAGGAAGAGAAAGGGAAAATTGGAACAGCAGCCAGAGAGAGGAGTGCGAGTGTGTGGGAGCAGCATCTCTGCAGCCGCGGTCAGTGCAGGAGGAGGGCAGGAGGTGCTCCAGGCCCGGAGCAGAGGTTCCCCCGCAGCCCGTGGGGCAGCCCATGGGGAGGCAGCTGTGCCCTGCGCCCAGGGAGGCCCCGGGGGAGCAGAGCCCCCCCTGCAGCCCGGGGGGACCCCACGCTGGGGCAGGGGAGGAGTGTGAGGAGTCCTCCCCTGAGGAGGAAGGGGCGGCAGAGACAAGGGGTGATGAACTGACTGCAACCCCCATCCCCTGCCATCCGTGCTGCTGGGGAGAAAGTGAAGAAAATCAGGAGTAAAGTTAAGCCCAGAAAGAAGGGAGGGGTGGGAGGAAGGTGTTTAAAGATTTGTTTTTATTTCTCATTATCCTACTCAGATTTGATTGGTAATAAACTAATTTCCTCAAGTCAAGTGTTTTACCCATGACAGTAACTGGTGAGTGATCTCTCCCCATCCTTAACTCGACCCACAAGGTTTTCTTTATATTTTCTTTCCTTTGTCCAGCTGAGGAGGGGAGTGATAGAGCAGCTTTGGTGGGCACCTGACACCTATCCAGGGTCAACCCACCACCCCGACACACCCAGAAGATCATGTTCCCTTTAGGATGGAGGTGTTTACAGATCACGCCACAACCCCGCAAGCACAAATTACAGCTGTACTGAAGAGAAGGCAAAAACCAGGCGTGCCTGAAAAGCAGTTGGCCAAGACAACACTGCTCCAGCCAAGGAACAGCACTCGAGTTCAATCAATCAGATGCTGCCTGTCTGCACGCTCCACTCCACCAGCTGAGAGCTCCCTGGTCTCTCCCAAGAGACCTCAGCCAAATGCTGGTGTGTGAGAAGGTTTCTAGGAAAAGTTACAGCTGTGCCAGGTCCACCCAACAAGCCCAGTGCCAATCCAGCAGGGAGGGATGTCCCCTGATCCTTACCTTGATTGCCCTCCTGACTATCATGATGGCATCATGCAGGGAGCGTTCTGTCTCTTCCATGAACTGTTCCGCACCCCCTCGCAGGATTATCGTGCAAGTTTTTGCCTTCGGGCAGCCAGTGAAGAAGTTATACCTGCCAACGGCACAACGCAGGGAGGGTTACAGCATCCCATGCTGCTGCTGAACAGGCTTCACACCGATACAACAGGCTGGCAACAGAGAAGTTCTCCACAAGTCAGATGAATGGCTGAAGCCGTTTCACCCTATATAGTGCCCCTATATCAGATCTTGAGCTAAGAAGGAGAGGAGCCAGGCAATACACAAGTGAAATTCAAGCTGACCCAGGAAAATCCACTCTTTTCCTGTTGCCAGGGCTTTGCACTCAACCACTGCTCTTATTTCCATTTGGCAGAAGCAGAGTAGAGGCTAGCAGATAGCCCCAAAGAGGATTTCTCCTCCATCGATGGGAAGAACCCCCCGTTACACAGCACCCAGCTTCGTCTGCACTGAGTCAAGTGGCACTGTGGGCTATCAGACAAGTGCCACAATCAACCCCAAAAGGCCTTGCTTTTAAGTTAGGGATGAAAGAATACCACTAAGCTTACTACAAGGCATTGAAGAATAAATATGTATTTTTTAAAGCATGTAAGAGATGCTGGAGCGAGGGCAGAGGAGGGCAATGAGGCGGGTGAAGGGCCTGGAGAATAAATCCTGTGAGGAGCCAGTGAAGGAGCTGGGAGTGTTCAGTGTGAGGAGGAGGAGGCTGAGGGGAGCCCTCATCCCTCTCTGCAGCTCCTGACAGGACATTGCAGAGAGGCTGGGGCTGGGCTCTGCTCCCAGGGGATCAGGGACAGGACAAGAGGGAACGGCTGGAAACTGCCCCAGGGGAGGGTCAGGCTGGGCAGGAGGAGAAAATGTTTCCCAGCAAGAGTGGTCCGAGAGTGGAACAGGCTGCCCAGGGAGGGAGAGTCCCCATCCCTGGGGGGTTTCAGGGCCGTTGGGATGAGCTGTGGGGGATGTGGGGTAGGGGAGAACTTTGTAGAGTCAGGCTGAGGGTTGGACTTGGT